CCGTACGGGCGACTCTACAAACTGAGCCACAGACACCCCAAAAACGTCACTAATAAAAACGCCATGTAAATTATTCTTGGATACACTAGCTTAGCGGTAAAAATGTTCTCTTCCTCCGGACTGTTTCGCCCCGGTTGTCTTGACTACGGTCAACTTGGATGCATTTTAAACTGGGTGAAGGATGGAGTAGCAGTGAGATCACTCCCATGATTCCCCGCCAGCCTCGACGTCATCTTTTGCTTCTTGTTTTGAATGAGAGCCCCCTGGTTGTGGAATTTACATACTGCACATTTAAGAGTGTTACAGTAACTATGAAATAGTATAAGAAAACAAGTTATTTTTGAATTAAACTAAAAATAGAAGCCACAAATACTTCATATTCTGCAATTTCACTTTCCATGGACCCCAGTTGGATTAGTCTTTTTGTATGTCTCCCCCCTTTATATTATTGTGTTTCTGATAGCTCCAGTTTGCATGTGGAGCACGCTGAACAACACTCTCTCACACTCAGAGGAAGTAGGACCGTAAGCTTTTCATCACACCCTCTGGTTTGATCTTTATCTCCGCCTGTCTTCTCCCACTCTTTCTTCTCATTATGGTTCTCCTGCTGCTAATTTTTTCATCCCCACCTGCCACTCATATCTCACCCCTCTGTCTCAGATGTGAGGGGGTGTGTGTGTTTGCATTAGAATAAGGTGTCTATAGAGGAATATATACAAACTACTTTTAACCCATAGCTCGTATGTATGTGTGTATCTCAGTGTATGCGTACAGTATGTGTGTAAATACGTCATATCTCCCTCAAGGTTTCTCAGCTTATTGAGGTGTTTGTGTGTGAGGACTAGTGTTTTTATTTTCGCGAACTAGACAACTTGTCATGTGTGTGTGTGTGTGTGTGTGTGTGTGTGTGTGTGTGTGTGTGTGTGTGTGTGCGTGAGCGTGTGTGCAGGTAAATAGGATTTCCTCAGTGTATGAAATCTGAAGGTGAGCTCATCCAGGTGGAACATTGACTTCTAAGCAGTGTGAAATAAAAAAACAGATACAAAAACACACACTTGGGATAACAAGCCTTCATGTTCCACATTCACACAGAAATACACACAAACACACCTACACACACACATACACACACACACACATACACTTCCATACATTTCCACCTGATGATATGTACTGTCTGCTCCATAAAGGGAAAATGTCACTTGCTGTCTTGTCTGCACATGTTTTTTTCCACCAGACCTTATCTGCATATTTATGTTTTACCACTAGTGCAATGTGTTCCCTGTGCTATACTTGGCAAACAGAATTGACCCTTTCCTCAGTTGATATAATGTTGCTTTGCCGTGCACAAATTTTGAGACTTATCTTACAACATTAGGGCCATACTTAAATGGTATATGTTGCATCTTCTCAAGTGAATCAAGGGGATTTCAAACCTCCTTATTCCTATTGCAAAAAAAGTACAAAAAGAAACTATACGGTTTCTTTCTTTATCCTTGGTGTGTTGTGGGTGAAACATGAAACAAACCAATCAGGTTTTCATCTCCCATTCCCTTTCAAAGCCAGACATGCTGCATCTGGAACATCACCAAATATACAGCAGATTTGAACAATTTCTTTCAAAACAGACCAGACATTGGCTCATGTAACTTTGTTCCTTCCCAATGTTCCCATGTACTGTACATACACTGCAGAAACACTGCGACGCACAGATTTTAAAGTTATATCTGCTGCATCTATCCCTCTGCAGCGGGAACACTAAGTGCATCTCCACTTAAAAAAGAAGAGACACTGTGCACACTTTTGCCAGAGGCACAGCAGCGTGACTTGATTATTCAAATCTCCAGACATGCCAAAGAGATCTGTCAGAGTGTACTATTAAATAAGTTGTGTTTGGTTAACATCAAAGGAAGGTACGCCGTAAATCTTTTGATTTGGATTTCATTAATGCTGCAAGAACATGAGCAAGGCTAATGCACACTGGACATCAGTAATCATATTGGTGTGTTCATATTGGTAGTTTTTGCTAATGTACAGTATGTATACGCTGTATTTGTAGCACATCTAATGTACATGCATGTGTACCAGAGAGCTCACATCAGAGAGAGCTTGGTGTCAGTCTCGGGTATGTGGTGGGCCTTTATCTGCAGTTTTTTTGCCCTCACTTGCAAAAGTGATAATCCAACGGCTACGGATGACATAATGATTAGCATGTCCATGGTCATTAGAACGGCCACACAACGCATATGATGGCAGAAGACCGGGATATGAAAAGCCTGTTTTCTTTCAGTCAATCTAATCAACAACTCCATTTAAAGGTCTAAGAGCAGGAACAGTATTATCACAGTGCATTGTAGCAGCACTTCAGGGCCTCGCTATGTATGTAACAAGTGGTATGTAAGTGGCTTTTCAGTCCACTCATGTACAGTATTTGTTACCATCTGACTCATGCTCCCTAAAAGTAATTTAACGCTGGGGCTTTGATTTTTTTCTTTTTGCATCAATAACACAATAAATAATTGCCATGCTTGTAATGCAGACACAACACATCTCCACATGCCTCCTCTTATAGGTATAGGTATAATTTGTGTCTTCCAGAGTAGATGTCCAGATGTTGCAATTGAGCACCCGAGTCTTAAAACCCAAACAAAGCTTTTCCCCTCACCCACCCCTCCTCTCCCTTAGTGTTCTGATCGAGTGGAGCCATCTCTACGACTGATCTCCATTCAGATAAGCAGACCAAAGCTGGTTTGGTTCTCGTGCTTTTGTAGTATCTTAAACTAATTTAAGTATTTTCTTCAATTTGAAAAGTCTGTAGCTTCTCCTTGAATTGTACTCTTGCGACCAATCTCCACCGTTATGCCTCTACCTACAATGTGTCAGAGTGGGCGGAGCTGCCTTTGTTCCCTGGTGTGTTGTCAGGGATAAGAGGTTGGATATAGGGAGGGGTTCACGTAAATAAAACATGTGTGAGCCTCTGAGCGAAACATTATCAAGCTGAAGGAAAAGCCGTCCCATTCTGTGTGAACACAGGGCTGAGAACAACAAACCAAGATGGAGTTTGACTTCACTCTTATAGAAAATGCATTACTCACCTATACATATATATATATAGATATATATATATATAGATAAATAGATAGATACATTAGATACCTGCTATACTAATGTTTGACTATTTGCATAATATACCTTCAAGACCAACAAACCCAACTGATGGTCATATAGGGCGCAGGTACATCCGTGAAATACACAACATCAGCACTGGCCATAAAAATAACCACTGTATCAGTTGGAAAGTAGCCATGACAGTTGTGCTTCACTGTGGATCCCTTTGCACAGCAGTGAAATAGGGCCAGATGCTTTAGTATGAAGAGAATGAGGAGAAAATTGCAGATGACAGAGGGAGAAAAATATATTTTTTCACCCTGTAGGAGAATACTTGTGGTCTCTATCAGAACATGTTTTTCACCGCATCAAGGAAAGTGTGTCACATACAGTATCATATTGTGTTGCATTACTTTCAGCCTATAGCTCTCACCAGAAGTGTTGTAGTCAAAGTGCAGTAGCTTGGATGATAAAAGGATAACACAAACTGTTTTAAAATGCAAAATAAAGGAGTTTCAAGCACAGAGTAAGAAGTGTGATTTATCCTGATTAGCTATTGAAATTCAACGTTAATGCCATTAAAAACCATGAACATTTTTTTTTTATTGATCGTAGACGTTTGGCTGTGTAATAGTCTATGGTTCAGTTCAGGTTTTGGGCTATGGGTTAGGAGAAGAGGGTACTTTGGGACTTTTATTATAGGTCTGTAACTGGGCTTAAGTTCCTTGATTGGAGGTCTGGCGAGTTTCACACCCATCTACAGCATTGACCTTTTCCCCCTGATTTCCTGCTTTGTTCCATAAAAGGTCAAACCACTTCCTACACCTGCACTGAGCGTTTGGCATTTACAACATAATCACATCACAATATCCAGTTTATGCTGAATGCCTCTAGCTTATACGTGGTATTGCCGCTGGCAGTGTGCATCCAAGTCTGTGGCTCGCTCCCAGAATAATCCCCACTCCTGAGCACCGAGTGTCTCTGGAGGGCACTCCTCGTTAAGGGCTGGGTATTGAATTAAACTGTCACACTCCACCACAACCACCAAACATCTGTCCCCATGCATACTGATACACCTTGCTTGTTTAGCTTGTCGAGCAACGTTGCCGACTGTCATGTGCTATGAATAGACGCCATGTTCCTCTTTAATTGACTGATGTGTGTGCAGATGGGTTTGACAGAAAATGCCCTTCTGCTTCTTGTTTTGATCTTCTGAAATGAAAGTGAAAATAAGCAATAATAAATTAAGAGATGTAATTTGTTCTTATTATTGTGTTTTTTTCTTCTGTGTTGCAGGGAACCACTTTGAACTGGACGACACTCCTGCTACCACTGCACTGCTACTCCTGCCTCTGCTGCTGAACATGGCGGTCCGCTCGCCTTGGATTTATGGAAAGCCTCGTTACTGACTGGCATGTCTACCTTCTGAGAAGTGGGACTTGAAGATGGTATCTTTACAGTGCTATTCATCATTGCAGTGGTTGTTGACAGGACCCTTTTGAAGAATATACTTCCATTTGGTGAGGAATATTTTTCCCAGATTTGCCTCACAAGCTTAAGGGAACTGATGGCTTATTCATTTCCACCGGATGGTTTGCACTGCCAGAATTTTAAAAAGGATCATTAGTATCCTCGACCCCCCCCCGTCTGCTCCGGAGTTATCGACCTGCTTATGTCTCTGGGTGAATGGGATTTTAGTGTGATTGTGTGTCTGTGTTTGCATCTGCATGGCGTAAGTAAGAAATAGAAAATAAGATTTTTTTTTACTTGGAAAGGACAAGACAGGACGCAAACAAGACGCAAAGAAGGAGTAGCAGCTATGTGCCCAGTGGAGGCACCATTTGAGGACTGGGTGTTCGCTTCTTCAGACGACTAAGAACAGGAGCAGGGTGATGGAATACTTTGGCTCCTTTGGCGCTTGCCAGTGGGTGTCCTCTCTACTATGGTTGGGGCTGCTGTTGCTGCAGGCGTGTCCGGCTGCCGTGTTGGCTCAGAAACTTGACGAGAATGACCCAGTGGTCACCACCGTCTATGGCAGGCTGCGCGGCGTTAAGAAGGAGCTCAACAATGAGATCCTGGGCCCTGTCGTGCAGTTTCTGGGGGTTCCTTATGCTGCCCCTCCAACAGGCGAGCGCCGCTTTCAACCACCTGAGCCACCAGTGTCCTGGCCGGAGATCCGCAATGCCACACACTTTGCCCCGGTGTGCCCTCAGAGCATTGTGGAGGGCCGCCTGCCGGATGTGATGCTGCCAGTGTGGTTCACAAACAGCATCGATGTGGTGACTTCATACGTCCAGGACCAGAGCGAGGACTGCCTCTATCTTAACATCTATGTGCCCACTGAGGATGGTGAGTTAGCCTGCGGGCCCTGGGCAGGATGATTGTAAGGGGGGGGAAGGGGGGGCAGGGTAGAGGGAAATGAGCCCACATCCTTCTGGTAGAGAGAGGAGTGTGTCGTCGGGGTGTGTTTTATTTATGTGAGAGTGTTTTTCTGTCTCTGTCCCTGTCTATGTGTAAATAGAGGGAAAGCATGACCTTGTGCATGTTTAATGTGCATGACACTGCTTATAGTACATGAGTGTGTGTGATAGTGGATCTGTGAAAGAGAAAATGTTGTGCATGTGAGTGCGAGTGGCCTCCATTCAGGCTAATCTATCCCCTTCTAATCCCACTCCATAGCTGTCGCCATCTCCTTCCATTTTCCATCCTTTTTAAACTCTCCTCCTCCACATCCTTGTAGATTCTCTCTTCTCCTCTTATCCTCTTTCGTTTCCCTCTTTTCCCTCCTTCACTTGGTTTTCTCTCGCCCTCTCTCCTCACTCAAGTCCATAGCTCATTTTAGCCTATTGTGATCCACCACGATGGCTACAGTTCATTAAACAAGACAGTCGTTGTCAAGATCATCACCGATTGATTTGGTCGACTGGCTGAATGACTGGCTGGCAGACTGATAGACTGAATACTGCACTGATTGAGCTGGTGTGATTCATTCTTTCCCTCTGTCTTCATGTCTCTTCTTTCCTTCCTCTCTAGTCTCTTTTCAGTCAATCACCTGTAGTGTGTTTGAATTAATGTGTGTGTGTGTGTGTGTGTGTGTGTGTGTGTGCATGCCAGCTCCTGTGTGCGTTGTGCGTCCAGGGGCTCCATGTTATTCTTTAGTCTTTTATTCATTTTACAGTCAAAAGAATATCCAAGGAATGTGCCAGGAAACCGGGCAAGAAAATATGTAGACAAGGAGGTATGTATGATCTGACCGAAACTTATACAATGCAACAGAAAGAGGAAACAGCCTGAAAATACAAGGAACATTAGAAGAAATGTTTGGTGCAGAAGAGAGCCATGGTGACATCAAGGTCTATGAATTATTCAGGTCTTAACTCTGGGATTCTGCAGGGTTTTTTAGAATGATTAACAAAAAGGACCTTTTACAATCCATCTAGAAGGGTCTTTGAGCCCGCATTTAAAAAAAAAAACAATGTCCAAAAACCCAAACAGTCCTAAGAGAGATCTGAAAGGACTAGATACCCTGCAGATAGCTGCCGCTTTATGCAACTTAAACCCTGATTTGGCAAAATAACTTGTAGACCTTGTGATGGTGGGATAATTGGTGAGATAGTGTTGCACCACACTCGCTGGCTCATTGATTGTGCTTCCAATGGTCAGCAAGATTGGGCGCTTTGATTGGCTGCCAGATGAGGGGTCAAAAGGCATATAGTAATGATAGCTGATGTGGGAGAAGATAACAGCATATTAGATCAGGCTCACTGTTCCAAACACACACCACACACACACACACACACACACACACACACACACACACACACACACACACACACACACACACACACGAACACACAGTGATGTAGTTGTATGCAGTGTTAAACAAGATGAGTTCAGGTTGGACCTTGACTGTGTAATCTCCATTAAAAGGAAGCAGAGTTGTGTTCAGGTTGGCTCGGGCCACTGTATCAAGCACTGTTTCATCAAGATAATGCCCTCCTTCTCCTCCTACTCTCTGTCTTTCTCTGCCTGTCTCTCAGCCTATCCCTCTTTGTGTTTGTGTGTGTGTGTGTGTGTGTGTGTGTGTGTGTGTGTGTGTGTGTGTGTGTGTGTGATAGAGAGAGAGACAGATGCTGACAGTGTCCTTGATAAGGTCTGGGTGTTAATGTCATTGTCTTGGCAGCAGCCTGTATTATCACTTAGCGTACATTCCTGCTCTTCTTCTTACACCGATATAAGCTCGTACCTCGCCGCTCCTCCTCATCTCCTTCCCTGTCTTCCTCTCCTCATCAGTGTTGCACTCACAGATACACAGAGGAGAGATGCTTTTTAAACTGGGAGATTATGAGCTTACTTGTTAGTCACACAGCACTGAGAGTCTTAATTACAAAACCAAGACCCAGACAATATGCTGTGGATTTTTCTTTTTGCAGAAAAGGGAGATTAGGTTCATAAATCAATGTTTCACGAGAATGAAAATGATGGATCTGTTGCTGTGTAACGGTACAAGACGGCTTCCTTGGTGTCTGGCTTGTGTTTGCATCAGGTGGGTTTAAGAAAAGTTAATTGATTCTTTCAAAATGTCAAGGAACTGTTCTCTTAATGTTATATAAACAGTAGTACTGCTCCAAAAGTGTAGCACTTAATTAGGGAACGCTCGGTGCAGTTTGTCTGTTTTTTAGACCGTAGTCTGGGATAACTTACCGAAAGCAAACAATTACTTTAAATATATCTAAGTGCAAGATTTTGCTGGAGTGTTTTTTATTAAAAACTGCTCTGTCCGACAAATTATTTTGTTTCACTTGTAACTAAATAAACCTAGAAGCTCAATATAATCATTATAGAAGGTTAACATATTAAAGGACCAGAGTAAGAGAAACACAAAGACTGTAAATGCTCTTACAGGAGTAAGGAGTATGAAGGTGATGTGCCCATATAGGCAATGATCCTCACAGTTTTCTGGCACACATTAATCAAACTGCTAAAGATTCAATGTTTGACATTAGTGAATGAGATGAGTAAAAAAAAAAAATGTTTGAAGTTGGGTTGTATAAGGTGTATTAGCCACAGATGGTGCTGGTCAGCTCGGCCCGTCAGCGCCACAACACTGAAGCTAGGCTATACATCGCTGCAGACGAAGCCATTTGTAGCACGTAATTAAGCTAAATTTAAGAATAACATTTGAAAAAATGTCGGGATAAGTGTTTACGCTATGTAGGGCTAATTCTGAGCATGGCAACAAGCTGCTTTTTGTCTTGGCTTTTGTTTCCCCAAACAACCCAACACATCAACAATCAACATCATCTCGTCAACACGCACCTATGAGGACTTTTTAGCTGAAACAGCAGAAACACTTTTACATCTACAGGACAAGGTCAGCAAAGAGTTAAGTTAAGACTTTTTGTCCACAGGGCACACCAAAATTTGAATAGCTTTAAATAAAAGTCCACATACATTCTGTCATGTTCATCCTATGGTCTCTTAGTTTGCTTCTTGTATGGTGTTTTTGGCTCCTATGAGGCGTACGGTGAAGTGTTATGATCTGTACAGTGTCGAGTGGGAAATTTGAAGTGTGTGGAAATGAATTGCTGGTTTATCTGCTCTGTCGTGTTGCATTGGGATACTGGGAAAATAAAGGTTTTCTTTCATGCTCACTGTGGGTCAGGAATGGTTTCTTTTGTCACTTCTTTTGGGGAGGGGTTCCAGATGCAAGTCCAGTTGTAAGTAAGGTGATAAAGTGTTGGAGGTGTTAGTTTTCCTTAGCTGGAGTGGTGAGTTTGAGATTGTTGCATTGTTTGTATTCCTTATAAAGTACCTCATATTCTTGTATCAAGCCCAGAGAGTGCTGAGTTGCGGAATGAGTTGGATTGGACTTGTGTAAATCAGTGTACTTCTGGTGATGAAAGACACAACAGAAAACTCAAAGTACTTGGTCTTCCCCCATCCCCCAGTGAGTTGGATTGGCAGCACATTTGGTGTTGAGTGTTGAGAAACAGTCTTGGTGTCAATTATGATGGAGAGTCTGTCTTCTAATACAGTTTTTAATACTCATTGATAAAATGCTCATGGTTATCCAGGTTGGTCGATTTCAAGGTGGCTGCGATCTTGGATCTTGCAACGGTCTCATTGCATCTTGTGGTCACATACAGAACATAATTGAATAAGATGGGTTTCTAGTTGTCTCACAATCCTTCATTGCATTTGCCCCAAGAGTATAAATCAGTGAAAGTAACATGTTCAGTGAATCCAGCATTCTTTAGATTTAAAGAGACAGAACCCATTTTCGGTGGATGCTTTCCAAAGTTCAGCCATTACCAGTAAGAGAGTACAACGTGTACTCTTTGGTGAACGGTGTGAGTGGGCATGCCATGGTGAGTGGGTTTTTCACGGATGTGAGCAGCCACACTGACTCATTTGGTAGCAGGGTTCGGTTGGAAAAAATAGGCAGCGGGGAGGAAAATGAATCATGATCAATCAATTGAACTGTGTTCTGTCTTTTCACACTCAGTGCAGCAACACTACAGATGTTGTGTGAGTATCGGAACAGGAGTGTGTATTATTTGTTAGAAATAAAGAATTCTATGAAGGGAAACAGGTGTCCTTGAGCTGGAAGTGCAGAATCGTAATGAGTGAATGTGTGGAAGTTTAGAATCCTTGGGGAGGAAACTATGCAACCAATGTCCCCGAAAACTTTAAGATCCAAATGTATGCATTCTTAAAGGGCCACAACCAGCAGTGGGAGACTTATGCAAATTCTATTCATGACTTATTTTGATGTCTAAGGACATTGGTTTTTCTTCAACGTACCTGTGCACAGTAACCAAGCTAGAGTCAATTGAAGTGAGTGTTTGAGCAAGGCACGAGGAAACAAACGAGAGTAGGATCAGCCAGAGAAGGCTGACGACAAAGTAACAAGAGCAAAAAAGGACAAACACAAAGTGAGTACAGTTTTCAAAGAACCAAACAGAAGATCAGCGGTGAATGTGACTGACGTAGAGTGTAAGTACTCTCGGGCTCAGCTCTTTGTCTCTATTCAGGACTATTGTACCGTCTTTTGCCATGCTGGTTCAAAGAAGTCTTCTGTGGTTGAAAGTAGTGTCTTTGATGTGTCTGGACAGAGTACGGTCATTAAGTTATCACATGCTGGGATAGCGGTCTCTGTAATGAGATCAGACCAAGCAGCGCTGCGGTTGGTCGTCTCTCTCCCTGCAGCCTGCATTCACAACTCATTTTTTAAATCGCAGTAAATGCAACAGAGACACACAGAGGACACACTGTTACTTTTTAACTATTTTTCATCAGTAATCAAACGGGTGCTTTAAAGATGAAAAAAATGAGATCTTTGCCAT